TCCCCCAGGTGCTCTGTCCTAGGGAAATGAGGGTTTTATTTATAAGCCCCTGATTGGGGCACTGGCCTTTTTTTCAGAGATGCCCAGAGAGTAGGAATCTAGAGAGGTAGTCTGGCTGCAGTGGCTTTGTGGAGCTGAGGTGGGCTCCACCTACTTCAAACTTTCCATTGACTTTGTTTACACTGTGAGGTTAAAACCACCTACTCAAGCCTCAGCAATGGTGGACACCCCTCCTTCCACCAAGCTCAGTGTCCCAGGTAGACCTCAGACTGTTGTGCTGGCAGTGAGCATTTCAAGCCCGTGAATCTTAGCTTGCTGGGCTCCACTGGGGTGGAACTTGCCTAGCCAGACCACCTGGCTCCCTGGCTTCAGCCCGCTTTCCAGGGGAGTGAACAGTTGTGTCTTGTTGGCATTCCAGGTGCCACTGGGGTATGAAAAAAAAAACAAAAAACAAAAAACTCCTGCAGCTAGCTTGGTGTCTGCCCAAACAGCTCCCTAGTTTTGTGCTTGAAATCCATGGCCCTGGTGGTGAAGGCACCAGAGGGAATCTCCTGGTCTGCCAGTTGCAAAGACCATGGGAATAGCATAGTATCTGGGCTGGAGTAAACCATTCCTCCCGATACAGTCTCTCACAGCTTCCTGTGGCTAGAGGAGGGAAATTCCCTGACCCCTTGGGCTTCCTGCATGAGGCAATGCCCAGCCCTGCTTTGGCTTGCCCTCTTTGGACTGCATCCACTGTCCAACCACTCCACATGAGATGAACAGAGAACCTCAGTTGGAAATGGAGAAATCACCTGTCTTCTGCGTTGATCTCGCTGGGAGCTGCAGACCAGAGCTGTTCCAATTCGGCCATTTTGCCAGCAAATCTGACTTCATGTTCTTTTAACTGACAACACTTTAAAGATTTCTTGTAAAAACTACTATCTTCAACCAAATCCTTATCTGTAAGATTTCTATCATTTAGCAAAAATGGCGAATATTAGATTGCAAATAGACAAGCATTTTGTAACCTTCTTTATCTTCTTATAACAAAGCAAAGCCAAGTCACAAGAACCAAGAGATCTGTGACTTTTTTAGAGAAAAGCTTCAATAGATAATAATAAAGTCATGTAGGTGTGAACAGCCTAAAAAGATTACTTATACAGAATAAATATTAATTTGACTGGAAGGTATACAGAGTATGTTATGTTCTAATTCATAATACATAGGAATAAAAATGCAAGGCAATATATTAAAATAAACTCTTTCCATTTTTTCCCAACACATAAACTAAAATTTAAAAGTATCTAAAACTACACAGAAATATAAGAAGACCACTGTGGACTAAATATTCTTTCCTTATGTGTTCGTGTGTGCAAGAAAGCAGTTAAAAATTATTACTTGGCTGGGTGCAGTGGCTCACGCCTGTAATCCCAACACTTTGGGAGGCTGAGGTGGGGGGATCACAAAGTCAGGAGATCAAGACCATCCTTGCCAACATGATGAAACCCCATCTCTATTAAAAATACAAAAATTAGCCAGGCATGGTGATGCATGCCTGTAATCCTAGCTACTCGAGAGACTGAGGCAGGAGAATAATTTCAACCAGGCAGTCAGAGGTTGCAGTGAGCTGAGATTGCACCACTGCACTCCAGCCTGGAACAGAGCGAGACTCCATCTAAAAAAAAAAATCATTATTCAAGTATGTAGGGGTGAGTGTTTTATAGTATAATCCAGCAACATATGCTATCAAAAATATATAATATAATATAGCTTAACTACTGACCACTAAAAAAAAGTCTTGAAAGTAACGACAGCAAGAAAGCTGGGAGGATGGACTAAAATGGTCCTTTTAATCTGTTGTTCATATATTTATTCTTTGCGGGCTTCCATAGAGTTAGATGGAGAGAAGATACGAAAGCCTTCTGGCTAATCTGAACACTATAGGTAGTCAGTCCACATAATTCATGTCCAAATACGAAGAATTTTGGGGGTCCAAATGTCCCAATTTGGACTATTATACAAGACAAATTACTTGTCCTCGCAAATATCTGCTTCAATATGTGATACATAACCAGAATTCAGGGAAAATATGGTAGTATTTCTAGGTAAAAACCTGAAGTATGGGAATAATAAAATATTAATATAAGGCTAATGATTTCAAGTTGCAAAACCAAGTGTATACACTAGAAGCCATGATGGGAATAATAACATAAAATATAAAATAGAGACAATAACAGTTGCATGCGTTTGTTTCTTTCAGATGTTGCAATAATATGAAAGACACTCTATTTTAATAGCTTTCCTAAAAAATTCATTTTACATGGTAGTCTTGATTTTATAGCTCATGAAATATTGTTTCTGTAGTACATTTTTCAAATAAGAACAACTTCAAAATTAATTGAGTACCAGAAATATTAGTATATAGGCTGCCTAGGGATAAAATATATAATAAAGCAAAGAGTAAGGTTAAGAGTATATGCAAAAAATTCATACTTTTGAGGCTCCAACAGTAAGCTCTCAGCTGTGAATTAATGATTAGTAACTTCAATTACAAAGACAATGTGTCACTGAAAGCTAATTTTAATTAGCTTTTACTATTGTATGTGTACTTTTCTTCTATCCTAATAATATGATTTAATTTTGCCTAGTTTATATGTTACTGAATACATCTAATTTTCCTTTAAAAATACTCAGTGGCCTAACATCAAATAAAGTCTTTTAATTGCAAGTTATAAACTTCAAGCACAATAAGTAATATAATTGTTATTCACTTGTCCACCATTATTTACAACTTGACATTATGTTTTCCTGAAGTATAATTATAAAGGTAAGGATATAACATTCTAAAATAATGCAATTAATAGTAAGGATGCCTTAATTAACTAAACTGATTTTTCTTCAAAGACTATATGTAAATAAACATTGTAAACATGTAGCCTAATTTCCCATTGATTTATACAATTAATAAATAAAAGAAGTTATCCTCCAGGAAAAGAAATGACCAAAAATACAATAGAAGAAAAAATCCAATTTTGTTACAAAGAGGTCATTGCACATTCTAAAACTTGTTTAAATATAGCCTACATTTTTGTTGGTCCTGTTTTTGTATCTTAGCTTGTATCTTGTTAGTTTCTGTAAAAACAAACCCTAAAGCTTGATAATGTGGCAAGCTTCTCCCCTCTCTCCGGCTGCCACTCTTAATAGGCTCCGACTAAAGGTTGGCCAGTGCTAGTGGTGGCAATGAGATGTTCTCACCACAGGCTCTAGCCATATGCGACTGGTCACCTTGATGGGCATGGCACAGTGACCAGATAGCCCTGCCAGTGAAAGCTTGGGTAATGCATGATAAATTTGTTTTCAATTTTATGTAGTTGGTAATAAATATACATCTGCATAATAAACGGTGAAGTATGTCAGAGACAGAGTAGCTACAACAAAAGAAAGCATTAAGCGATATCGAATTAAAATGTTCAGAGCTGCTATTCTTCATTTTCCCATGAAACTCTCTATTGTTTCTTCTAAAGGCTTAGCCTTTCTATAGATGGAAAAGGTAAGTCCTTCATGGGGTGTTATTTAAAGGGCAGTTACCCATAATACTTCCCTCACAGTTTTCCAGAGAATTACCATTTCCCATCTGCCATGAAATGCTCACTATTAGATTGATGCTTTTGGGGTAGTAAGAAAGATGGTGCTGTGCATGTGGGAAGGGGATGAGCCTATTCTATTCATAAAATGAAGTGAATTAGCCAGTTAATACCATGGAAGGATTATCAGTGGGATGAGGACACTATTAGGTGCTGAAGACATATGTCCATATTTTTATAGTTTTATGTTATTAAAGGTGAAAGGAACAAATGTGTTCAGCAGCAACACTTAAAATGCTAGCATCAAATGTACTATTATGTATAAAAGGATTTGAGTAGGTTTATGTTTGGTATGACTAATTGTTTCATCACACTCAGAAGCAAGAATATTATGAAAAAGGATCCTCCATGCACTTTGCTGAAGAAACTCATTAAAAGTTGGAAAAACCCATAATTACTGCTTAAGCAAGCCCACTATATTCTCAGCGGCCTCTGAAGGTTGGTGCTATGGACTTAATCTGTGCCTCACTGTCCAAAAAGGGATTCTCAATTACTTACAGTTATAAAAACATTTTGTGGGCACATATAAAAAGGTTTTCTAGTTATTTCTATAATATCTATATAGAAATGCTTTGTACATTTTCAGTAACCCTAAAGCTGATTGTATTCTGCTTTTGGAATATTTTTTTCCAGAAAGCATGAATGACCATCATTATAAATAAAGCTGAAGAAATTCCACAAATAAATGCACTTCATATGGGGAAAACATTATCAATGTACTAGGTTTTAAACAAATATTTCTAAACTATATTCAGTTTGATTTGACATATTTTTAAACTTTTTATGAATTTACGAATTTATAGGATATATTTGTATTCTAAATAATTCCAAACAGCTTCCTGTAAGGCAAGTCCCAGCACTAATCCATGACTCATTATCTCAACTTTAATTGGCACAACTCTTCAAATTCAGGGACCGTATGGAAAATAATGAGTCCTAATAGGTCTAAGGTGAAAAGATGGCAGGGGAGTAAGGAAGCCAGAAAACCATCAATTTAGAAAGCTTAGCAACACAATTTCCCCAGAGATCCAGAACAATGTGTTCTCAATGTTTTACTGGTCTTGCTATCATGTCTCTAAACTGCATATCATTTTTCATTCTGTGAGACAAAGATTAAAGTGAAAAAACAGAAAGAAACCAAAAACTGGTTTCTATAATTAAAAATGAAATCGGCTGACTGTTAATTAAAAAAAAAAAGACGGTAGTTTAAAGTTACCATAACAACCTAATGCAACTGTTGACTGACATGGCAATCTGTTGCATTTTTATAAATAGCAGTTGATTTTCCCTCTTTCATTTCAACTTGTTTTAGTGCTTATTGGAGCTAATGGAACAACTGTGCTTCAAGACTACTTCACTTATCAAGGAGTGTACCTTTTCACTGCTGTCACCACCGTAAAAATCATCCTCTGATTGGGCGTCTCTGCTTTTCACACTGTTATCCTCTTTTAGATCCAAAATAAATGAGAGCTCCTCTGGGGACATAGTCTGAGTCTTTCCATGAGGTGCCGATCGTGGTCTTGATGAAAAAGTGAAAATGTCCTTTGGAACACTCTGAGATTCCTCTGCCTGCTGGTCATGTTCACTGTCCTTGCTGGCTTCCAGACACAGATGTGACAGATTGGAGGAGTCATCATCCAGAAGTAGAGACTGTCTGCTAGATGCCAGATATGAAATGTGATCAGCATTTTCAGGAAAGATCCACTCATCTGATAGTTGGAAAAGATGACAAAAATTAGAGTAGTGCTCCATAAAAGTGTTATTTCAGGCAGGTAGTTAGGCTAAAATTTCTTGTTGTCAGAACAGATTTATCAAATAATGCAAAAGCCAAGGAAGGCAATTAATCCACCATCTTGTAACCTGCTAAACATTCTACCCATATATCAGTGCCTTTAGCTACGGGCAACTCATTTGCACTTCCTCTCCATATGAGTTAAAACACTGATCAGGAATTTTATAAGTCTGAAATAATTATCACCTGTCTTGCAGCAAGTTCTTTATAGGACAACCTTATTAATTTAACATTCCAGAGGGGGAAAGTCTTCCAAATTTAAAAGGAGTTGAGTTATTAATATCTCCTTTTAACTGCAGGAGGACAGATTACTTAACCAGCTTCTTTAAACAAAATATCTGATCTTTATTCAGATTACAAATCATGGAGGAGAGGAAACCATGAAAAGGTTGGCAGTCATTTCCTCTCCATTCCACTGATTCAAACAGAACAATTCACAGGCTAAACCAAGTAGACTTTTCAAGTAATAGTAAATACACAGACATATTTGCTAATCCGAGCAGTGGATTCTGCTAGGTGAAAAAGGCCTTTAAGTTTATAAGAGAGAATGCTTTGATATGAAAAATCTTTTAGCATATAACTTTTTTCTTTAAAATACTGTACACTGCTACTGGGAAATATAGATTTTTATAAAAACTTTTAAAGACTTCAATCTTTTATACTACATTGAGATAGAGTTTATAGCTCTATGATCCTGACAAATTGAAAAGGACAGATCTTGATAGTGATATCATTAAAAGCATGCTTTCTTCTTTAGAATGACAGTAGGAAAAAGTTGAGCATTTTCTCAATGTAGTCTATTTTTCTTGAAGTTTGCTTTTTTTTTTTTTCCAGCTTATTTCATTGGTAAATCCTGCAGAACCACAGTGTAGTCATGGTAATTTTACACCTGCTTCTTGAATTGTATTATATTTATGATCACAATAAAAGTAACCAAAAGAGATTTGGAACCCTAAAGCCCATGATGCAAAAGCAAAAGCAAAAGAACGCACAAAAATCTGTAATAAAAATAACTTTGATGGTACAACTAAAACACAATTGTATCTATCTGTTTTGTAACTTAAGGCTACCATTACATAATATAGCTTGCCTGTAAAAAAGGTGATCAATGCATACTTTTTAGACAAAATCTACCAGGGACAAGGCTTCCATATACTGAGGGACATGAGTCTACAGGCATATGGCCAATTGCAGGCTGAGTGTAGTTCTTCTGCCCACCTTCACAGATGGGTGCAGGGGCATATGGTCCTGGGTCATTGTAGCTGTGGGCCAGTGAACTAAATTCATTCACTGGGCTCCCCTATTTTGGACAGCAAACTCTTTTGCATGGTGCTGGGTACATGGCAGGTCCTTTGCAAGCAAATTAGGTGCTTTACAAGAGCTGAAAAATGTTACAAAAGCCAATAGGTTGCATTATGTATATGGACATGTGAAGGAAACGGAGGAAAAGATACTAGGAATCTTCATTATGCACTTATAAACAATTTGTATGACCTATTACCAAACATATTATAAACTGTCAAAAAGTCAAAGTAAAAAGGGTGTTTTACACCAAACTAACTCTAATTATCTCACTGCCACATGCTTTTTATGGAATTTGCAGTTTTACCTCAAGTATTTCCATATCATTTGTAATGAATAATTTGGTGTGTTTTCTTAGAAAAATATGTAAATTACTGTGTAATCACAATATTGCAGCAAACAAGATAAATGCAAGAATGATCACCTAAACATCTAATTAGTTTTTCTACACAGTCAGATTTATGCTAGAGACACTAATTGCGCCTAACATTTTAATGAAGGTTTCAATATTGCATAAATAAGACTGACAAACCACAAACAATTTTCATTTATTTTCTTTTTCCCCTTGCCCAAAAACAATTTGCCTTTGTAAAAGTAGCACACACCTGCTAGGTAAGATATGTTGCTGGGCTTAATGCTCTCAGCTCCAACCACCTCTATTATAAAGAGGACTGGAGAAATGCAACAATTGATCATCTCTGGGGAGGGTGACAGTGTCATGGGAAAACGTCAGTTTTAAACTTTTGTTGTGAAAAGGATGACCATTAAAACTTGAAAATAAAAAAATACTCTTTCATCCATTAAGGTTTGACATAAAATTGAGGTTAAATAAGGAGGTTTACAAAAACTTACACATTTTAGCAAATTGGCTGCATCACCACTTTTCAAAATGACTGGATTTGAAATATTTGCCATATTTATATTTTATTAATTATTACCAGATATGGTGTAATGAAGATGCCAACCTGACTGATCAGGAGACTGGGGTCCTAGAGTGATGGAGTTCAACAGCTCTGCTCCTTGTTGGGACACAGTAGTGAGGACAGTTGATGCTTTATCTTCATTCCTACTATTTCCTGAAGAGCTGCCTTTATTGAAATGAACATTTTCCATATTATTACTTCTTTTGAAATTTATAAAAAGCAAATTTTGAATAACAGTTTACTTTGGTATACTTTACTATTTGATTAAAAGCAAATTAGAAGTAACACTATGAATTGAATGCAGTTTTTTTTTCAGTAGACTGTTTTAAGCTGCATTTTTATAGAGGTTCACCTTAAAATTCTTTGATATTTGCACAGGGATATTTTCGATTTAAGTTTTACAATATGTGATAAAAAAATGCCAAAACCCATAAAATTTTTAAAGGATCTTATATTTTTTCCTTGGGTTCCACATAAAGTGAAGTTGAGTTTTCTTTAAATTATAATTCTTAATAAATGAGACTCTTTTTGACCAAGCTTTTTTCAGCAGCATGTTAAGAAAATGGATCTTAAGGCATTATTGCAAAATTAATTTTCTATCTATTTTTTTAATGAAAAGCATGAAACCTAGCAGGCTAAAATTCAGCCAACCCAGGAATCTTATATTTTTGAGAAATTTTAACCTACAATATATCATATGGTGAAGAATCCAAAGGGAGAGACAGCAAGTGTAAACAACAATCTGAAAAGAGCCCAGTTTAAAAAGACACAAATGAAACATAAAAATTATAATAAAGTTCAATTTTAGTAAAGTCTACTAGTGGGAACTTCTATCACGTTTGGGCCATTTTTTCAAAAACAATAACTTAAGCTTATTTAGTCTTTGAGAGTAAAAGTAGGAATTCCTTTATTTCTGTGGTACCGTCTATGTCTATTTAATCCAGCAAATCTCCGTTAGAGCTCTAAAGCAATTCTTTTGCAGAAAATTTGATTTCCATAATCCTTGTAGAACAGACATTTATATTTTAAATGGATTGGTTCATAATCCTTTGAAATTTACAACCTGCAGAGACAGATTCCATTGCCCTGAATAATATACAGCTATAAGATAGGATTGAAGTAGTGCCATACCGCTGGGTGTCTCTGTCCTTTCTCTGCTGGTGCTTTTTAACCATAATCTTCTTCTGTTATTATTCTTATCTGCTGATGGTTCTTGAGGGGGATGCGGATGCATAATATGTAGATTGGCTGCTACATTTTCATATCAAAGAACAAAAGCCAGAACAGAAAGTGCTACATGGCTTGAAGTAACTCAGTAAATACAATTATCAGTATAATGAGAATATTCATGTATAATTCTGACATAACATGAAGACACAAAGTATATCAAAAATACAACTTCATAGAAAATAGGCATTTATTCCTATTCCAATATTGGGATCCTATCAGGCTTTCAAAGTTATTGACATACTCTATTCGTGTAGTATAACCTTATAGAGGGCTAAAGTAATTTTACTAATGTTAATAAGACTACATGGTATATGAAAAAACATTTAAAAAAATGAAATTGACAGCCAACACAGAAAAACTAATTCTTCCTTTAAAACAGGAAGCGTAGATAATTATACATTCAACAAGAGTTTAGAGAGCAGCTTCCAAAGGAGCCCTGGAGAATGGAGGTCAAACCTGAAGAAGAATTTTTAAGTATGATTTAATTTTGCAATAATAATAATCATAGCAGTATTTAACATTTCCTGAATGCTGAATTTCTTGGTGCAATATTATGCACTTAACTGGTTTTTCCTTTGAATTCTCAAAATGACCCTTTGAGGCACCTGCTATTTGTTATTAGTATTAGTGCCAGTAGTAATGCTACTCCCATTGTACAGAGGAGAAAACTGAGGTTCACAGCATTTAAAAAACTTGATCAAGGCCTCACTGACAGGCAGCTGGGACTGGAAATCTATTTATTAATTTCCTTATCTCAGTTTCATACTTCGAGAGGGAAATTTTCTGTGATAGTGACAATTTCTGAATCAAATAAGATGAACTTAAATTTCACATTCTTTGCTTGCCTTTAAATCTCTATCTATAAAATGAGACAAAAATCCTTTTTCACGTACAGGGTTTTTTAAATTTTATTTTTGTTGTTGTATCAGTGAGAGAAAAGAAAGAGTACTTTACAAATGGAAGAGATTAATTAAAATATAAAATTAAGCTAAGAACACATAAAACACACATGGCATTTCCAAAAATAGTGATAATGGAATGCTATTTTATTTCTGCATCAGTTATCATTAAATAAAAACCTAGGGTATTATAGCAATTTGAAATAGCGGAGAAAATAGAATGATTTTAGAAGCTAATAAGAGAATTTAAAACATATTTCAAAATCCACCACCCTTTTCATTATTAAATGACAATTCTCTAGACATAAGATCTAGACTTGAATATAACTGCTGATTTATCTTAACAAGAACATTTCTCACTATTTTCACTAGCTATCAATCTTTATGCATGATTCTTTCTTACCATGAATAGGTATAGTCTGTTTTATCTGGTGAATGTTTTCTTTATTTCCTTGCTCCTCAGACTCAGATATCAGTAAGGCTGACATTTCTGTACCATTAACACACTTCTCTACAGTGGACGGCTGGCATGATCGGTTATTTTTGGACCCAATGGATCTCACTGTCTGTAAAGATAAGGAATGAATCTGTACATTTTAAAATATAATCACTACATTTGTTTTCTGTAGAAGCTACATAGACAAAATAATATTTGGACCAATGAAGAGTGAGAAAAAAAAACTAGAGAAAATGAGGTTAAGAAGTGAGGGAAAGGGAAATTATTACAGAAAACTAGAAATGGAAAGAGAAAAATAATGAGATAAAATAGAAGACATGCAAGTCTCCTAGACACATAAATTAAAATGTGCTTATTTGCTACACTCCATCTTCAGTAGGTAGAAGATGAATTAAAAATCACTGTGTATGTCAGAAATTCAGAGGAAATTAAAAATAAAAAACCTAACATTTGAGAATCTGTTCATCATAAGGTGTCTAGTTATGATCCAACTCTTTCTCTGAAGGAGATGGCAAAACATGCTCACTTATATTTGCCTTTAAATTTTGTGAACATATTTAATGAAAAGAATACTTGAAAATGTTAATTATGTTGACGTGACACAAAAGAAACTCTTTTGAAGTCTTTTAAAATCCAGAATTTCTGTTCCAAATTTATTCATGCCTTCTGCTTTTGGCATGTCATGTCGTGTCTGTCTGTCTGTCTGTCTGTCTCTCCCTCCCTCCCACTACAAGGGGAAGAAAGTCTTCCCTTACCAGGTCAATTGTACTTAGATAAACTCTTCAAACCTTGCTCCTACCTCGCTGGATATCCTCATGTTATTCCTTTTGCCAGAGAGTGGAGGTGGCCCAAGAACTTTGGATCCAAAGGCGATATGACAAACATCTTGATTTTTACTGTTCCGTGCACTACCTGTTCCTCTGTTAACGAATTGATCTGTTTTGTTAAAGGAAGGTAATAACAGTCCATTAATGGATGTAATGACCAACATCACATTGCAATCTTTCTGAAAATCCAGTCCAGTTGCCATGGGATCCAAATCCTCCCTCCCCCGTCAGCACTTATTAAAAACACAGATATGAGGGCCCAACATCAAAGATATAAGATGTATAGAATTAAAATCTTGGAGGTGTCACAATACCTTTAATAAGCTCCCCCAAGTAATTTTTATACTCGCCATCATTTGAGAACAACTACCACAAAGTGTTTCAAAAAAAAAAAAAAAAAAGGAAAAGCTACTATAAAAATACATCTTATTTTCTTTTTAAGGAAATAATTTAAATAAAATTATTCAACTCAACTGAACAAATATTTAACTGAGTACTGTCTTAGGCGTTTCTTAGAGGCTGTGACACAAAATGGAGCCTGGAGACAGGGATAAGACCAGTAACAGGTCACCAACGTAAGGCAGACCATCGGGAGTGAAGAATAAGTGATCTCTTCATGGACCATGAATGACTGATACAATTTCAAGCATAAGAGAAGCAGGATGCCCTAGGCAGAAGAAAGTACTGGAGTAAAGGCATGGAAGAAGGGAAGGGCAGGGTGTGCTTGGGAGTCAGGAAGTGGCTGATTTAGCTGGAAGAAGAGGCTAGGGTCAAACTGAAAAGAGCCTTAAAATGTGAAGAGCCTATTCTAAATTTGGTAGGCAACAAGGAATCCCTGAAGGTTTTAGGGAGAAAGACAGCAAAACGGTGTCACCTTCAGCATAGGGCAGGTGTGCTCACCAAATCCTGCTGCCTGCCTTTCTGCACACACAGCTAAATTATGTTTCTGAGCATTCCCTGCAGTTAGTTATATGGGCCACATGACTGAATTTTTTTTTTTTTTCCTTTTGAGACAGAGGCTTGCTCTGTCACCCAGGCTGGAGTGCACTGGCGTGTTCTCGGCTCACTGCAACCTCTGCCTCCTGGGTTCAAGCGATTCTCGTGCCTCAACCTCCTGAGCAACTGGGACTACAGCCACAAACCACGATGTCTGGCTAATTTTTGTATTTTTAGTAGAGATGGGGTTTCACCATGTTAGCCAGGCTAGTCTCCAACTCCTGACCTCAGGTGATTAGCCCACCTCGGCCTCCCAACATGCTGGGATTACAGGTGTGAGCCACTGCGCCGGACCCATGTGACTGAATTCTGGCTAATGGACTGTGAGAAGTTTCAGCCATTTCCTGCTCCCTAAAGCCCCCAGCAGAATGCCCCATGCTCTCTATTCCCTCACCTCCTGACAAGATGTAGAAGATCTTATGGAGGACTTTAAGGGCTCCAGGGAAGCCACTAGATGCAGGTCCCTGAATGACCACATAAAAGGCTTCCCAAGGAACTCCTAATTGGACTACAACTGAGGGGTTCTTTGTGACTGCAATTAGCATCCTCTGACTAACAGGGCAAGTGAGAGTGATGGCCCTTAACCAGAAGGCCTTCTGCTGTGACCCACTTGTAGGACAGAACAAACTTAAATATTACAATGATGGCCACAAGTAAGTCCACATTTGCCCACCAGTCCTGGACATGTATGAGCTACTGGCCACCTCCTGTCTGACCTACTCCCTGCAAAAATTCCTATAGCTAGTTAGTTGGTCTCATTAGCCTCTGCTGTAGAGCTATAATTTTACATAATTGGGGGATTAAAAACCACTCTCATGCATTGGCATAAGAAAAGACACACAGGTTTGTGAAAATATACCATACTCAGCAAGATCCAGACATTTAGGTCTGACTGGATGTAGTGTGTGTATGTATGGGTGTGTGGATCTGTTTCATTTGTAATAAATAAATCTGAAGATATGGGCAGGGGCTAGATTGCTGAAGTGAACTGAAAGAATTTTTGCTGGACAGAAGATATGAGGTAGACGTTGAAGTGGTGAGGAGCTATATACCATATCAGTTTTCCTGAAATTCTTAAAGCCCTATTAGGTAGGAGAGAAATTCCATTTGTCTAAAGAGCAGAATCAGAACTAATGAGTAGAATTTACTTCAGGAAGCTTTGAGTCCAATATAAGGGTCATCTTTCTCTAAACATGTCTGGTTGTTGAGGTGGTAAGTTTTCTGTCTTTTTGAAGGTTCTCAAGCAGAAGTCTGGATAGCTACGCTGGATGCTGTCAGGCAGATTCAGACATCAGGTGACTCCCTAATTTATATCTCTTAGCCTAGGCCTCTCTTCTGAGCTCCATTCCTTACATCCAGTAGCCTCTTTACCAGCTCCTCTTCAGTGTCTCAAAGGCACCTTAAACTGGAAACCTGGTCTAATGAATGGAATCACAATCCAACTGGTTTGAAAAGTCAGAGCCCAGGTGTCATACTTGACACCTTCCCCCAGTCTCTCCATATCTAATCCATGTCTGCTTCCTTCCATCTCCTCCACCAGCACTGACATCCAAGCAAGCCATCCTCCTTCTTTTGGATGATGACAAAGCCTCTCACGTGACTTCCTGTGTGCAGTCTGGTGTCCCATGCCACCCCTCTTCCAAAATGCAGACAGAGAGGTTTTATACAAACATAAATCTAATTGAGTCATTCTCTTTCCTTCACTTAAAGTTCTTGAATGACATCCCTGCTGCTCTCAGGAGTAAGACGAAAAGCTCTTAACATTGCCCACAAAACCCTGCATGTTCTGACATGTCTTAGTGTCTTATACCTTTCATTTTCTGCTCTCTTGGCAGATGGGCCTTCTCAGTTCTTTCTGCCTGCCAGACGGTTTGTGCATGCTGTTCCTGCATGAAGGCTTTTCCTTTCCTTCTTGGCCTTTATGCCTCAGCTCGCATATCACTTCCTCAGACAAGTCTTTGCAGACCTTCCTGATTGAGGTAAGTTCCTCTAATATAAGCCCTTCCATAAACTTTCCCTCATAGAACTTGTCAGAATTGAACTTTTACACGTGTCCATGGGATTCTCTAATTAATGTGTGATTCAGTAGATATAAACTCAGTGGCTTGCTTTTGTCACCCTGAACTGCCAGCACCTAGCCCAGCGCTTGACACAGAATAGGCACATAATAGTTCCTTGCTGAGCAAAATCAATGAATTGTTAAATGAAATGAGTCAGAAGGGAAGTTGGATTAAATGACTCAAATATGTCTAACTAAGGTTTGAATTTCATTTTAAGAGAAATCTACCTGGGAGTTTTATGTGTGAATCAAAAAGGAAGACCGGACAGGTCTAGGCAACTCCAGGATGTGAGGGATGGGAGAGAAGGGATAACAATGAACAAGACGCTGATGTTCACATAAATGATGAAGCTCTCAACAGCTGCAGTGCTACGGCACCACAGTCAGCTGCTTTTCGGACTGCACGTGAAATTTCCTAGTGTCACCACATAGACTTGGCTATGTGTGTATCTGTATTTTTTTTTTTTTTACCAGCCATTTATAGATATCCAATCGGAGTCAATAAAAGTTAGTCTCTCACAATTGACAATAGGAAGAAATGACACTCACATTCCAGACCCATTGGAAAAATCTATTATAGTCAATATTTCTGCCTTTTGTGACTAAGTAGAACAAATTCTAGGCTATTTCTCAAATGTTAATTTTGTCAGAGAAAAATGGCTGCTGAGTACTGAGGGGCTACCTGGGACATGGTGTGGGCCTGGGAAGGAGTTCTGTATCAGCACAGGGCCTTTCTTCTCTCTTCCAATCCTGGGAACTCAATGTTCAAACAAGGGCCTATTTTTCTGTTCAAATATTTTACAAGAAAAATTTCCTGAAGTTTTATCATATTCTTTATCTATAAGCAAGTTTCCCCTCAATTAATGTAAGTTCTTTATAGAAAGACCATAAATTTGGCACTGTATATACCTCCATCAGCTGAGCCCAGCTTAGCACACTGTAGGCAATGGATAAATCTCACCAAAATTATGGAAAAATAAAAATTAAATAGAACTTTTGTGGGGAGGGAGTATATTAGAAATCATACTGACACAGTTCCAACTAAAATTTGACAAAATGAACACATTAATCAGTTCATAGTTATTAACAAAATTAAAACTCCTAAATACTTCAAATTTCTTAGAGGAATCTCTTGCTTAGTAGTGGACACCCAGAGTCTATTAAAGATACACCCACACCTGATGTGTTATCATCCCCTAAATCACAGAAAACAGACATTCTATATTTCATAATCCTATCTACTATGGAATTCCTTTAAAGAGTAATCTACCACAGCATATTTAATGTTTATTTTTAAAAATTTTGCACATTTTGGTACATTTTATTTTCCACAAAGTATACCAATATTCCACTATTTAGTGTCTCTTTAATAAATAGACCTCATTAAACTTGTTATTATAATGAACACACCAATTCTTAAATCCTGCTTCACTTTAATAAATCTGTGTATAATCATATTGTCACAATTACCTCTACAAATATGTATTGTGCCATGCATCTATCATAATCGGGTCCTAATTAACATCTACTAAGAAAAGTAATTTAGAACTTTGGTTTCTAAAATAAAAAGTGGAAGAGACGAAGTTTCCATAATGAGAAAAATCTTAATAAAAGAAAACTACAAACAGAAACGCATGCTTTTGAATTCTAAGAGGAGTTCTTTTAAGAGCTTATATCAATATGCATAATATGAGGTTAAAAATCAAGATTAGATTAAAGTCATGCTCTAGGCATTTCATTTTCTTGAGTTTGCAGAAAATGAACTTGGTGTAGGTCAGAGATGTTACCATTAATTATTTTGCTATTTTACTGAGAGGTACATGCCTTTGTAGTTAGATTGTAAAACCTGAGGGTCTACTCTCTAATTGTCTTTTAGAAAAATAAATATTCATTTTTGTCTCAAGATACAGTGTTCTAATTATTATCGTCATTTAAGTTTGCACAGTTTTCAAGGCTTAACCAGAAAAACCTGCTGAATCTTTAACTCTAATCACTGAGGGGTCATGCTCAGGACTTACATCTATTATTAACAATCAAATCGGAATTAAAGCTGGTACCAAAAGTCCAGACTTTGAATTGGATTACTTTTCATTGTAGTATGTATGCATTGTTATTAAGAATGTATCAAATACAAAAAATGCTGATTTTGTACAGCAGTATTATTTTAGACAAGGTACTTAACCTTTCTAAACTTCACCTCTTCATCCAGAAGATTGGGATACTAATAGTACTGAAGTCATGGCATTTTTTATTAGAGTACATGAAACAATGCATGTAACATGTTGAATGCTGTGCCCAGTAGGGAGTAATATGTTACGAATACCTAGTAAACATGCTATTTATATCGTTCATCATGAATACCGTGTAACAGTTTACAAAGTCTGTTCACAGTCATTTATGCGTTTCTTCTTACACCCTTTGAGTAGTGACTAGGCACTTGGTTGGGGAGGTATTGCTCTACTACTGTGTAAGACAGGGAGTAAGGTGGACATGGCCACCTCCTTCAAAGAGCTCAGAGTCTAAAGGGGCAGATGGGTGTTAAAGCAAGTAATTTATAAATAACTACATGATTATAGCTGTGATAAGAGCTATGAAGGAACAGTTCGAAAAGTTCTAAGTGTATTTAACAGGAGATTGGTATCTAGTCTTTCAGGTCAGAGTAATAAGTTTCAACTTGAGACTTAAAGGGTGATGAATATCAGGATACACGCTCAGTCTCTGCAATTTCCAATCACCTGTGCAGTATTATATTCCATGTCCACAGAAGAAGAAACTGAGGCTTACAATGTTTAGAGATCTGTCCACACTCAGAGCAGGGGGCTCAGAAGCCAAGTGCCCGAATGCCTCTTAGTGTGTGTGTGTGTGTGTGTGTGTGTGTGTGTGTGTGTGTGTGTGTGTGTGTGTGTTTTAACCACATATGATGATGCCCTCTGTGGATCAGGAGGTCATTGAAGCAGATTCTTCCCATACCCACTTATTTTCTTTGCAATTTTGTAAAGCTATCTAACTTAAAATTTTTGTTTTGCTACCTGAAAAACTGGGTTTATTAATGATTATATAAATTAAGTATCAAAACTGCATGAATATGATAATTCAGTGCATGTGATGAGAACTAATGAGGTTTATGAGGAATCCAACACAGAACATAATACCATAATATCCATTTTCAGAGGGGATAGAGTTGTGGGGACCAGGGAGGGCAGGAAAAAGGGAGCAGGGCAAACTGAAGTGGCTTCAGTACCAGGCAGGTAACACACACATGGCAAGCAGGCTCATGCAGAATGTAGGGCAGCTGTGGCTAATTTGAGATTGCATGCCCAATGCAAAGTATTTTAATTAAAAGCTTTTTTAGGCCTGTTGGAGGACTGTAAGACTGTAAACCCAGAAAGCCCAATGAAAAGAAAAGCAAATAGGCAAATGACTAAAGCAGGAAGGGCCCTGCGCAATTAAAATGTCTTCAACTTTTGTAAATAATTAAAACCAGACCTTAGCTTTACCTCATTAATAAAAAGTTTAAGATACTTTTTGAAAGGCAATAAAATAATATTAAAAACTAAAATTAGATCTTTTTCTCCTCTTAACTGGAGTAGGGCCTTAGACAATGTATAAATATCATTTGTGTGTAAAGTTAGGATATTTAGACATGATAAAAAGTAATAAAGCACAGGATATTGCTTTTCTTCATAAACTCTTAATTTATTAAAAAGTCAGAATTGGCCTACTTTTTTTCTTTACTCTTAATGAGCAAATAAATTTTTTTTTAGGGAAACAAGTTTATAATTTCAAGAAAACTTTCCATTTTGGATAACCAGCACAGCTTGTTTACGAGCCATGGTAGATAATTTCCATCATTTGGGCTTGGAAATAGGGCAAGAGAAGAAGAGAAGAAGGCCTTCTAGGAAAATGATGCTTAAAACTATTATGGTAATGAGAAATTGCTTAAAGGGAGTCAGCAGTTAAGAATGCAGCTCTGAAAGCAGCCTGCCTGGTCAAATCCCAGGCCCACAGGTCACTACTTGATCTTTGCAAGCCTCAGTTTCCTCATCTACAAAATGGTGATTATTGAGTAAAGTTAACAATAATGTATTGTATATTTCAAAACAGCTAGAAGGAAGGTTTTGAATTCTCATCACCAAGAAATAATAAATGCTCAAGGTGATGGATGTGTTAACTTCTCTGATTTGATTATTACATGCAGTTTATACATGAATTGAAATATCATGCTGTACCCCACAAATATGTACAGTTATGTATGAATCATAAAAGGGTGATTATGATGGTATCTACATAAAAAGGTGAGAAAGAGGGTTAAATGTATAAACTATGTAAAGGGTTCAGTGCTTAGAACACAATAAAAACTACTAAATGGTAGCTCTGATTACAATGATGATGATTTATTGCTAAATACCCTTATCTGCTCAAATCATTTGGCTAGTATGTCATTCTTTCATTTAATTACTCAATCAACAAATATTTACTGAGCTCCTGGAAAGTACTAAGCATTGAGCTAGGTGCTAGGAATACAACAATAAATAGGATCCTGCAGTTTTCAGGCTTATATTCTAGTGGGCAAGACAGCAATAAGGAAGCAATCAAGTGAACAGGAAAATATCAGGTAGCGATAAATGCTGTGCTGAAAGTAAAAACTGGGTGATGTGACAGAAAGAGTGTCTTGGGGGTTGATGGAGGGCATTGATATTATAGCCCTGAGTTCACCAGTAGTGAAAAAGTATCTGAAAAGTCACAGTTCAATTGAAGTCTCTCAAAATTCATACTGATATAGCATAGATAACCATATATTATGTATTTCCCTATTAAACCATAAATTAAAAAGTTGTTTAATATTTATACAGAGACTTTGCTAATAATTCTTGATTTCCTTATTAAATATTTTAATTAAAATATTGATATTAAACAGAGAAATGTATTTTAATTTTACAAGTCTTAGAATTTTTCAAAGTACAGAAAAGTATAAAGAAGAAACCAGAAATGTCCCATAATTACTCGGACATAATACAATCATTGACATAAATCATGAATATAATTGGAAAATTAAAATTCTGTAATAGAGAAGGATATAAAACTAGAAGTAAAAGACTTATCTTACTGCTCCTATCTCCATTAGTCCCTGTTCTCAAAGGTAATTATCAAGTTTCTTGTGTTTCCTTAAAAAAATGTATGCATATATCATACGTAGATAACTATCTTTTTTATTTCTATCAATGAGATCATACTGAAACAGCATTCTTGGTTTCTATTTTTCACTGACTGACACAGCTTTGAGACCTTTCTAGGCCATCACAGGCAGAGCAGATCATTCTTGGTAAAACTGCAATGATATCTTATTGTGTGGTTATTGAGTCACTTCCCTACTGTACACAAGTAGTTTGTCTCCAGGTTTTTGCTATTACAAGCAATGTAGCCATAAACATCTAAAAAAGAAATGTAAAGGTAGGTATGAGTCAATCCTGCTAAAGTAACACAATTGTCAAACTGACTAAATGCATTCAATATTATGTTTTATATTAATAAAGTTCTTTCAATATTTGGCAGAAAATTTACAGAAAAATTAAAATTCACTCTACCAATGGTTTTTGACGTTTTTCTATAAGATTCCACAGATATTGATCAATAAGATCCATATTTAATGGATATTTTACACTTAAAATTTTTTAAACGAAGGAATGTCATTAGTTATGTTTCACTTTTATTGACGATAGGAAAGAGGATACATGATTCAAACGTAAGTGATGATGTAGTTTATTTTGAATTATCACACCTTAGAACTAAAAATTGTGAGATCTCTTTAACCAACAATCCTAAGACAAGGCTAAGCAAAAGTCTGAGTTTAGAAAAGAAGAAATTAATGAGTGTCTTGGTTTATTCTGAAGTCAGAATCTAACTCCTTTTCCTTTTAGGTTATCCTACTTCACAGTGGATTTTAAAAAATTTGAATCTTGCTTTCATAGTGTATAACCAAGAGAAGAATTTTTAATAAAGATTTCACCACTGCCAAAAATAGATGATTATTTCATGTTTTGTTTTTTTTTTTTTTTTAATTCCATGTGTTTTGCTTGATGTATTAATTTACCCATTTGCAATTGTGCTAGGAGCTAGGGATGTCAGTCTCTTCTGACTTAAAAAGGAGTAAAAATCCAGTAAGATGGCTGCTGTGGGCCGGGCGCGGTGGCTCAAGCCTGTAATCCCAGCACTGTGGGAGGCCGAGGCGGGTGGATCACGAGGTCAAGAGATCGAGACCATCCTGGTCAACATGGTGAAACCCCGTCTCTACTA